AAAAGGTTAGATTCTTCTGCATCAATAATTTGGAAAGGATAAGAAGTCTGTTTTAGAGCAGCCTCATTAAAAAGACAAATAATCTTCCCTACTGGCCAGAGCCTTCAACATTCACTGTAGCGTTTCAAAGCATCACTACTTCACTCTCAAATCTGAGATAAGAGGCAGAGAGTAGCATCACTTTTACATTCTCTCCGCCGACTGCTCTACAACAAAGTTTTTACAAAGCATGTGACTTATTTCTGACTAGGAAAGTAGCACAAACTTGGGGAAAACTTACAAAATTCAAGGAAGTAATGAAGGAAAAGCAAGTCCACCTCTAAGAAAACTACTGCAAACATTTTAAACATTTTGCTATATCTTGTCTCAGTTTGTTTTCTGAATGTGTGTGTTATGTATATACTTGCGTAGTTTAAATGGTACTAAATATACAATTTGAGGTGTAGGAATCTTTTTTTTCCACTTAATGAGTATTTTCCCACAATCACGTGGTACGGCTCCCCAGCTGATAACCTCCAGTGACTTCTAGTCACACCCAGAATAAATTTCCTTATCATGGCTGATAAGACCCACATGACCTGGCTCCTAACCTTTAAGCAGCTCACTCTGTTCCAGGCACAAAGCTTTCCTTCAGTTCCTTTGGACATTCTGAGCCCTTTCCCACCTTAAACATTTAGGTCTGACTTTACCATTTCTTTTTTTTTTTTAAGATTTTGCAAAAACTATATTGATAGGGTATATGTGTGGAAGTCAGTTCTAAGGGGGAGTTAGAACAAGATGGGATAGATGGAATACAAAACAATACTGGACCTAACTTACTGACATGAGTGCATTTTACATGTTTAGGTTTTTTAAAAATTTTTTATACAATTTTTAAAGGTTACACTCCATTCAGTTATTACAAAATATTGGCTACATTCCCTGTGTTGCACAATACATCCCTGTAGCTTATCTTACACCAAGTGGTTTGTACCTCTTACTCCCCTACCTCTATATTGTCCCCCGGCCCCTCCCAACTGTTAACCACTAGTTTGTTCTCTACATCCGTGAGTCTGCTTTTCTGTTATATTCACTAGTTTGTTTTATCTTTTAGGTTCCACATATAAGTGATAGCATACAGTATTTGTCTTTCTCTGACTTATTTCACTTAGCATAATGTCCTCTAAGTCCATCCATGTTGCTGCAAATGGCAAAATTTAGTCCTTTTTTATGGCTGAGTAGTATTCCATGGTATATATAGACCACATCTTTTTATCCTTTCCTCTGTTGATGGCCATTTCTGTCTAGAATGTACTGTCCCCTGATCATCCCATTTTGTTTTTCAACTTGAAATCACCTCAACTTAGGGTCCTTCCCTGAACATTCTTATCCAACCCTCAGCGTCTCCCTCAACTTACTATGCTTTTGTGTCTTCACAGCAACTTGTCTATTTATTTGTGCATTTGGTTTTTTCTGTCTGCTCTTTCTTTTGATGGAAACTCCAAGAAAGCAAAGGCCTTTTGCCTGTTTACAGCAGTTTCTCTAACACTCACATCAGTGGCTGACAGAGAGCAGATGCCCCATAAATATTTGTTGAATAAATGAACAACTCCTTGGAATTTCTTCAAAAACACACTTTGAACATATTGCCAGATAGATCCAAGACCTGTTCTTTACTCGCAAGAGTTAATGCGTCCAAAATGAAACCTAACTGCTACCAACCAGTTTAAAAATGATTTAGTCCTAGGACTTCTGTGAGTTTGCAGACACGAATCTGAAATCTCAATAAGGAGCTGAAAAAAAAAAATCACCTGGTGTTCCCTGATCCTCTGTAACAATCTCAAAAGACTTCAAAGCCCTTAACTGAAAACTCGATATTCTTCTGTATGATGCCCAGTTTGCACCTGAGTAAACGCCAACACAGAAAGGTTCTGTCCTTGAAGCTGTCCTGCTGAAGCAGAGCACTTCCTTGAGCCTCAAAGACAGTCAGACATTGACTCTGCCAATGCCAGACACCACTCTGTCAGTCCCAATTCAGACAGAATTGGCTGTAACTCAGAATCTCTCTCTCACGTGGGTGGGTCCACAGGTCATCAGGAAGATTCTGCTTACTTATCAATGAGAAAACTGGGGCTCAGAAAAGTGAGCTGCCCGAGGAAGTGAGAATTGCTGTCCAGAGCCTGTAGTTGCCTTCCTGAATCCCAGTTGCCTTGTTTTACATGTCTGAGCTGATAGCCAGGGCGGAGAAGCCTGCAACTGCAGCGTCCCTGGTTACCCAGCAACTTTGGGGTTCCGTGTGGCATCACCTTTCAAAGACCCTGAGAGGTGACTTGTATGTATGTATGTATTATTTATAGGTGAAGAAACTGAAGCTCAGAAAAATGAAATGACTTTGCAAAGTCACCCAGCCATTAAGTGGCAGAGCTGGAATTCCACCTCAGGTCTGTTAACGTCAAAACCCACGCTCCAATCCACTTTGCTATGTGCCCAAGAATCCTTTCATATCATTAGAGCAAGTTTTCACTCTGGAGGGGAGAGATACACCTAAACAACTGTTACATAATGACAAAGATAGGGTCAGTGTTAATGGGATTGTACAGCCAACAAGTGCTTTCTCCTCTCTGAGCAGGAAGCAGCTTCCAATCACCAGAAAACAGAGTCTGATGAATGCAGATCGAGATGATAAGAAAACTGTTAAACTTCTCTACAACCTTTCTCAACTCTGAAAATAGTAAAAGAAGACATAAAAAATAGAGCTTTTGCAAAGACATAAGCCAATATCAAGTGATTCTCTTTTCTTTGTATCATTAGCATGGAGGTGCTTTTAAAAAGCATTAGAACTAGGTGAAATGGAGAACACGTGTTTTGGGGAGACCAGTTCCTTTTTGGAGTGGTGTCCTTTGGAAGCCACTCACACAATACTTGGCTGGTGAGGCCAGGGGAGCACAGAGGGGGGAATGTACAAGGCCCTTTTGAAACGCTGTTTGTTTTTACTGACATTTTCAGCTTTGGCCTCAGTTGGCCAATCTCTGCCAAAGAAGACCGTCACGCTGGGTGACCGTCTTTCCGGGGGTCCCCCGTGTGTAGCTTACAAAAGAGCAGCAAAGCCTCCCAATCAGTTTCCTGGAGGTGAGGGAGACAGAGGACACTTCAGCAGATGCCAGGAGAGGCAGACCGCCCATCAGCGTGCGGCCAGGTGGCTGCTGTCACTTCTAGGTTAAAAATAAAGTCTGAGGCATGGATGGTGGTTTGGAGCTGAATGACAGTTTCTGTCTTATTAAAATAAATCAGAGTTTGCCACCTGGCACACAGAATATGCAAATGCGAAAGGAACCGATTCACACTGAGACGTTTGAATAAAATCCCTTGAGTTCCACGGGCGGCAGCCAACATCACTTGATAGATGATACACACAGGAATGCGTAAGTGTGTTTCTAGGTGTGCATGTGAGTAGTGAATGTGTGATGTGTGTGCTTGAGGTCAGCCAAGACAGGAAGGGCCAGATAAAATCAAGCTTCAGCCTTCCTAGAAATGCGAGGCTTACCCAGCGTGTGTAGTAGGTGTCAGAAAAGGGCTGCTGAATGAATGAGGAAATTCTATGCAATGTGAGAATTCCACGCTTACATTTATCTTAATCTCACACATAGAAAAGGTCCAACTCCTAATCTTGATGGCATTCAGCCATCTGGGAATTCCAAAGACGGTGCCAAAACCGTCACTTCAGGTCAACAGTATTCACAGTTCCTCCCCTCTGGGTCCCTCGTGTCTTAAAAAGGACCAAGCCTTCAGGGCTGTGTATCCGTTAAGCCCTGATAATTAATGAAGACTTTCCAACAGGCTTTCTTAACACTTATGCAAACAGAAATTATTACCCCAAAGGGTATTGATGATACTAACAGCAATAATAGTAGCTAACACATATTGTGCACTCTTCTAAGCATTTGACAAGTATTAACTCATTTTATCCGTAAAACAACCCTATGAAGTAGGTAATATTATTACCCCCACTTTTCCCAATACAGAAACTGAGGCACAGAGAGGGGAAGAAACATGCCCAGGTTCACAGAGCTCGTAATGATGGAGCCAGGATTCCAACCCAGCCAGTCTGGGCACCGAGAGTCCACAGGCTTAACCACCAGGGCACACTATACTCCTCACCCCGATTTACATAACTTGTTTTGCTCTCTCAACCTCCCCCGTGTATAGCTGAGAATATCCCCAAGGTTCAAGTAAGGTTAAGGTAAGGCCGAGGTGTGAGTAGCCACGGACCACAGACCACTGGACAGGCATGCGTGTCCATGGCAATGGCACTGGCCACACTGCAAATCCCTGTAGAGAGGCTGGACTCCGGAGATATCTGTGCATCTCTCGTGAGAAACAGAGATCCCTGTGATGCAGGAGCTGCCGTGACTCAAGGGCCTAATATTAAATGGCCGATTGCATCTCTCAAACAAGCCCGTCCAACTGGACGTGAATCAAGAATGTTTTCCGTTAAGCCCTCTGGTCTCCAGTAAATCTCCTGTATCATGTAATAAAGGAAAGATTCCAAGTTCCTCCCTCCAAGAGACCCAATGGGCAACATTAACGTTTGGAGGCCACTTTCAGATTCAGGGTGGAGCCTTTCTGGAGGGTGTTCGTTATGATGGGGTTGCCAGGAGGACAGAGGGGTCATCGGCCCGGCACCCAAGGATCTCATTGCCCACGTGGGAAGAGTATAACCTGTCAGGAAGACCACAAAAAAGGAGCTCTGCAAGAGAACTGTTTAACCAGCTCTCTGGCACCGACTCACATGAAGGCTGGTAGTTCAACTTGGAAGAGATCCACCCCAAACTGGGTTCAAATCCTGACACTGCCACTCACTCCAGGTTACACAGCTAGTTCGTTTCTTACCCTCTCTGACACTCAGCCTTCTCCTTGATGGGATGACAGTAACATCAGGGTTTGTGGGACTGTGAAATGAGACAAGCTATGTCAAACACTTGATACAGTGTTTGGCACTTAATCAGAGCCAATAAGTATTGCATACTCATTAGGTGGCCGATCTACTTCAGCTAAATTAATTCTCACAAAGGTGCTATGGAGTGGGCACTATTGCCAAACCCACTTTAGAGACAAGGAAACTGAGGCACAAAGAGGTTAAATAGTGTATCTAAAGTCACCCAAGTGGGAGAGTCAGGGTTCTAACATCTGCGCTATGCTGCCAATTATGTGGGGTTCCGGGTAAATTCATTCTTATTTGGATAAACCAAACTGACCCATAACACCATTAACTTTACCTGTATTTTTCACTAAGCCTCACATCAAGGAAAACAGATCTTTCTAGTAAAATCGCCCTGGGCCTGAGATAAATAGCTTCTTGGTTTGCTCCAGTCACTTCGAGAGTGAGAGAAAAGCACGGCGTCTGCTGAGAGTACGGCACTGTGTAATCTTTACCCAACTCACCATTATGTGCACGTGTCCAAATTTTCCTAAGAGGTGAGTGAGGGTGGGGATATTACACAGCCGACTAGCCATGGAGCTGAGTGACAAGACGTGTTCAACCTGGAATCCACAAGTTGGTCTTCAAGGGTCTATAAACCTGGGAAATTATACTCAAGACTGTGTGTGTACGTATATACGTGTCCACATGCTTGTGTGCACGTGTGTGTGTGTCGGTGTTTGGCTAGAGACAGCATCCCTCAGTTTCCATTAGCTCCTCAAAGATGTCTGTGACAGAAACAGGTAAAGAATTACAAGAAATGATTATCTTTAAGGTCTCTTCAGTAATTAGAAATTCCAGGATTCTGGAATTTTGGAACTTCCTTGTGGGCTTCGTGACAGCAGGGACTGCATCTCTCCTTCAGCATCTCCAGGGCCCTGTGCAGCACCACACAGAGTAGGCACATGTGGGACAAATGAATGAATGAATGAATGTTCTCCCCCACACACAGGACAAGCAGACGTGTAGGATGCAAACAGAACACGCCTCGGGTCCACTCCCCACGTCACGTCTAAAAGAATCACCAGCTGGGCCTGGTTGAGAATTCCCTAGCAGACACTTCAAATGTTTAAATGTTTTTAATCCGAAGCATTTGCTTCTGAGAACCTCTGCTGTTTTCCCTGAAAGCAAATGTTTCAGAGACCAACTTTCAGCTTGGCAACTGGCGTTGTCTGCCTGGACTTTGCGCTGTCATCTCAGAGACGAGCACAGCCTTTTCACATCGTGTCGTAGGGCCCCTTCTGAGGCCGGATCTCCTGAGACAGGAATGACAGACACAGTGCGTCCCATGTGAAGACCACAGGAGATGATCTACCATCACGCTGTGCCCAGAGACTCTCAATTCTCTGAACCAGACTTCTCCAGACGGTCCAAAATGAATTACTGTATTTTCCAACAGGCACCGCCTAGATGTGCCTGGCTCCTTTTGTCATCTCCTCAGGAGGGATGAGGCAGAATTAGATTTTTTTCTGATTTGGTCCCAGAGTAGCTATGTGTCTGGGAAAGTTGGTTTTCTTGAAGATGGGAATAAGGCCAGTTCCTGAGACCCAAGGACTTGTGCAACTCCCACGGCCATGAGAACAACTGCAAACATTCACCTAGTGCCTAATCAGGCCCATATGAGGTTTCCAACATTTTACACCTAAAAATTCATTTAATTCTCACAACAGTGGTATGTGGTAGGCACTTTCGTTATCCCCATCTGATGCAGGAGGTAACTGATTCTTTGAGAAGACATGAATGACCTGAGCTAGGGGCTAGCGGACCTGGCTGCAGGCTGGGCAGTCCAGCTGGTCGTACTGCAGTGTTAAGTGGCACCCCGTGGGTGGGACAGACGCTAAACTACAGGAAACCCTCTTCTCCATGTGGTTTCTAAAGTGCAGAGAGGTGAGCATTAAAAGAGAACTCTGCAGAGAGGAACTTGAGCTTGTTCAATATTATTAAATATTAATAAGCTCAAATATTATTTTAAGATCACAGGTCTCTTGATTCTGGACCAAAGGCTTAACAGGGCAGGGCCCTTTGCTCAAGAGCTTGGGAAAACTTAGATGGGAAAACCTGCCCTAGTGGAACTGCCACCCTCTCCCCAAGGCAAAGATTCCGAGGTCTCTGTGTTCGCTGGCTTTCCCCCAACAGAGGTCTGGCTTCCTCTCTCTCATTCTACCTGTGCTCTTCCCGAGATCCCCCTGGGGATCAGAGACCCCCCAACCCCAGCTTCAGCCTCAGGCCTCTTCTGTCCTTTACAGCCTGAGGGCTCTGGCCAAGGCCAGGCAGAACAGAATGAAGACAGGTTGGCCCAGGGCTGGGATGCCAGACCACAGGCTGTCCTTGTGACATTCTGAGATGTCTGTTGCCCAGCCCCCAAACCTCAACAGACCAGGCCCTTCAAGCTGGAGCCTGGCACTCCAGGCTCACTGCATCCGACTCCGTCGAGCCCCTGGAGTCAGTCACATGCAAGCCTCCTGGGGAGAGGTGGCCAGAAGCACCAGCGAGCTCTCCACATTTTTCATCTTTCTAGTGTTTATCATGAAGCAGCCGGGATTCGCTTTCTGTCCTCTGATTTGCTGAGCTCATGTCTGAAAAAGATTATGCCACCTCACAAAACTAACGGAAATGATCCTCATCAGAACTAGGGAGAGACCGATAAGGTCAATTGTTCTTTAAAGCATTATTGCTAATTGGATCATCTGCGTTTAAAGCGAGGAGGAACAATGGCCAGCCAGCATCAAAAATTCTCTTGAGATGCAAGAGAAAACAAAAATCCACAATGACTGAGCGTGGTCCCCCAGCCAGCTGTGAGAAAAGCAGGACCTCCGGGGTCCATAACTGCTAGATTCCTGACTACTGGACTGCTTTTATAAGAGGCCTGAGCAAGCCGTTCCAATAAAGCCACAGTCCACTGTCTTAATGGGACATGAAGAAGCCATTCTCTTCTTCATTGTGATTGTTTGATGTCTTCAAAGCCCAGAAGTTTCCATCTGGGAGTCTTCCTAGCTATTATAGCCCCTGCTGCCACCCAGGCCTGCCAGTTCAGCAGGCTGGCAGCCTTCCTGCCGCCCCACATCTCTCGCCCCCATCCCCTGATGCCCATGTGATGAGCGCCTGGTGAAAGGGTCTATTGTTCAGCATCCCATTCTGAACACGGCCAAAATCACACTCAGTGGCCGAATCGCCTTTGGCTGCCTCGGGCCATAAATCTTGAAGGACTCAGTCTCTCCCCGAATTGCCCTGGAGGCGGGTGAGGGTTTAATGAGCAGAGAAAATAGTCATACACCATCATACCGAGAGAATTTCCTCCAGAATGTGTCCTGGGTTGTTTTCAACTGAGCGATTCATCCCTTGGCACTTAGAAGGGAAATGCACCCCAACTTCTTGGTGCTGGCTATATCCCCTGACCTCTCAGCCTTTGTGTCCAAGGAGCCTGTCATGGCAGCCAACAAGGGCCCATCACATCCACTCTGTCAGAGAAGAGTCCAAGGGTTCTCTCAGCCACTACACTGGCCCTTCAGTCTAGGCCTCCAAAGAACCAATCCAACGAAGCTCTTGGCTTGTTTGTACAGAGTCTGAAGAAAGACCCCCACCCCTGCCTCCTGGTGGAGTAATGGGAACTGGGGGAGGGGAGAGGGTGGGAAGGTCTGGTTAGGCCCCCATTCCCGATCCTGGATCCAACAGTCTTTCTGGCAAAGGAAAGTGTGTCCCAGAACTGTTACCTCAGTACCCAACTCTGTGAGGCCATTGGTCTTTGGTGAGCGAGTCTCCGGGAAGACAGCTGAGGGAGAGAAACCACAGTGTGTGCCCCTGCGTGTTGCCATGGCGACCGGGAAATGTTTGGCTTTGGGCCTGAGACCTTGTTTTCTTCTTTTTTGGACCATATCTGTTTAGCAGACTGGCTAGCACAAACCCAGGATGTGGTAAATGAAATGAAAAAGCATCTCAGGGGCCCACATGGGGTTTTTCCTGTTGCAAGTAGAAAAAAAAGAGGTCCTACTTTTTGTTTCATAGTTAGATTTTTTTGGGGGGGAGCTAATTACAGTTATAACACCTAGCTCAGGTACAGCTTTGGCTCAGGTCTGTGGCTGGATCTGTGACGAACTGGCTGATTTTAATCTGAGGGAAGGATGTCATGAGAGCTGAGGTGGGCTGACACTGTTATTCACAAGTAATAGCTGCATCTCGCGGTGGTTAGTGAGCCACTGACACGCTGATGAGCCATGGGTCCCCACCTGGGAGAAGGACAAACAGTTCTAGCCTGACTCCTGTTCATTATATGCTGTGTGATGTTGAATAAGTCACTCTAGATCTCTGGTTCACACCTAGCCTTCCTAACTCCCAGGATGAAGCAGGAAGTTAGGAAATGCTTGAAGCTGGTGGGATAAAGCGGGGAGGAGTTATATGCACACCTGGGACAGTATGAACATCTCAGAAAGCTTCCCAAAAATCTAGTATTCTCCAACCCCAGCAGAACAGGTGGATCAAAGTACAAGTGTCAGTCATAGTGCCATGGGGGAACTTTCCATCTCCAATTATGAAGCATTTCCACATCCAAAAGCAGCCCCATGAGGCCCATCAGGTAGGTACTATGGCCCCATTTTACAGATGAAGAAACAAAGGAGCAAGAGATTCAGAGACTCCAAAGTCTTACAGAGTTTGAATAAAACCCAGACTTCAACTCAGATTTTCAAGGTCTTCTGAGTTTCCCCATTACCCGTGGTGCTGCCCTTTCCATCTTGGGTGTCAGCAAGCAAAGGGGAAAAGTGACAGCACTCAGACAGAAGAGAGTGGTTTTTATACTTTTCTTCCCCTCCCCCTCCCAGTGATGTCTTAGGCAGAACCACAATATTTAGGATAGGGGAAAGCAGAGCTGCTCCCGTGGGAGCAGGAGTGAGGGTGGAGACCCCAGAGCCTCGATCCTCCAGCTGCTCATTCTTGCCCAGCCTCCACCCCACCCCACCAACGGTCCTGACACCCTCCACAATGCTTTAGGAGGCTGCGTGGAACACTCTGGAAACCACCGCAGTAGGGGCCAATCATAACAATGATAACCACCCCTTGGCAAGGCTTGCGATGTGCCAGGGGCTTCAAAGCATCCTAAGACGTTTAGTTGCCCCATGTGACAGCTGTGAAAGCAGAGGGTCAGAGCGCTAAGTACTTAGCAGCTCAAAGGCTGCAGCCCAAATGAAATGCATTGTATAAAAATGCTTCACAAGTGATACAGGCTTAGCATGTTTTTTTTTTCCTGTCAGTCTCAAGAATAAAAATACCTTGCAATGTAAAGTTCCCCTTAAAGGTTGTCCCTGGCTCACCCTGTGGAGAGGAGATAGCAAAGTCTGCTTTTCCAATCCTAACCTACAGGGATGGGGGCTGGAGAGCAATGGACTCGAGAGGATTTATAGATCCAGAAACTGAGGTGAGGCTGTTGTCCTTCAAGGTAGAGCCATCCAGATGGAGGGGAACAAAAGGCCACCACCAACTCCCACAGAGTCCGGCATCACCACACAGTCCAGGGTACCCCCAGCTCGGATTTGATTTTCTCTTCCCTATCTCTTTTAGCATCCTTTCAAGTGATGAAGACAAGATTCTGGAATTTATGGAGCTGCTATCGTGTCAGACATTAGTCTAGGTGTGGTAACAGGTGTCGTACCGCGCGATCTCCAGAGCAGCTTTGAGAGGTCAAATCATCAATCCCATTTTGCAGATGAAACAAGTGAGGTCCAGATCACAACTGACTCAACATTTGCTGTGAAAGTGGCAGGGCCATGAGTCAAACGCTGGGATGATATCTGTCGTCTGACGTGAGTTAGCCCAGATGTTTACCAAAGCCACCCCCCTCTGCTTGGGGCACACAGATTCTCACACTGGAGGCTAGAAATGAAAGGACCCTGTGGGGTGTGGTTGGGACAGGTCCTACTGCTGAGCCTCTGGCTGGGCTCCCCAGAAATATTACCATAGATGGAGTACCTACTCCACACTGATTATCTCATTTAATCCCCACAATAAATGTATGAGATAAGGACTATTATTGACATCAGACCTTATTACAGATAAGAAAACTACAGTTTAGAGAGGTTAAGAAACTTGGTCTTTTCCTATTCATTTATTTATATAATTAAATGTAAGTTGCCTTTATAAGTTATTTTAACTATGTCATAAATATGTAATTGTTGGCATTTTACTTGTTTTCCTTATTTCTGAATTTTAGTCCTTGGAATAAAGACTCTTATTATAATGTCAAAAAAAAAGAAAGGAACTTGTCCAAGTTTGCACCGTTAGGGGGTCAGGCAGCCTGGCCCCTCTCTCTTAAATGCCACACGAATGCCTCTCTCATCACTTAATTTCAGGAGATCCCAGGTGAATTGCAGGATAATGCCTCTTGCCAGATAGTTTGAGCATCTACCGGCTTTGTATTTGCTAGTGTCATGCCAATAGAGTTGGTGGATGGTGACTGCTGTCTCCTCCAATGGGGTAACTAACAGACCCAAGGAGATGGGGACATTTTCATAGAGAAGTGAGTCCTGCACTGGGACTTAACAGCCCTGTGCCCTAGGCAGGGGTGACCGTCTCAGGATCACAGCGAGAGGAAAAGGTTGAGGAATGGCTTGGATTTCCGCCTGGCTTCGATAGTAACTCGCTACCTCTTCTCTTTCCATGACAGATGGTACCTAGTTCAGACACCCCTTAGATTGATGGTTTTTATCCTCTTTCCCCCATGGTACCACTTCAAAGTCACAGGAGGGACCATGTCAGTCACACTCCGATGGGCACCAGGTACCTTGCCATCCCTAGTGGCCTCTTTCCCTGTCACTCAAAAAATCTTACCCAAATGCAAATGAGTGAGCATGCAAATTCTTCTAGGAATAGCCATGAGTTTGCTGCAGTTTATAAGAGAAGAAAGTCATTCATAAGCCTTGGCACCTGGTTGTCAGTAGCCCTGTACTTACAATTTACCTACTACCAATCCTGACCTTCACGTGGATTGAGATAGAACAAGAACCATGCCTTTAGGTCACCCCTTTCCTCTTCAAATGCACCAGCAGTGAAGTGATGTAGCTGCAAATGCATTTGTTTACAACAACAAGTATCATAAGTGACCAAGGAGAGTTCTAGATTTTCACTGATTCCGAATTAGGAGGGCTCAGAAATCATCAGGTCGTATTTTAATGACTCAATCGCTCTCTTTTCTCATAGACTCTCTCTCTCTCTCTCTCTCTCCCCCCATCAGATGCTAAAGTGAAGAGGGGTGTGAGTGCTCATGTGAGTAACAGGCCCCTTCCCAGTCCCTTATTTATTCTCCAGATGCTTTTAAGAGTAATACAAATGTTTCAAAGCAGAAACCCTATCGAGGGAGAGGCTGGATTGAGGGGATAGTTTTTAAAAATCTGGGCCAAAAGATTTCCAGGATCAGTACCGTACCAATTGCCCTGTGAGCTAAGAGCTTGTAATTCACACCTCTTCCTGAGCTTTCAATCTCTGAAATCTCACCTGTAACCACAGATGCCAGTTGCAAACGCCAGGCTCCAGAGAACACGTTTCTGACAAGCTTTTTTAAATCTGACTCAAGCCACAGGGTTTGGACCAAAACCTTTACCATTTCATGTGTAGCCGGAGCGGGCCAAGCATAACTTCCTGCTTTTAAGAACACGGCTCACGCAAAAAGCCAGGAGGCTTGGAATGGAGGAAGCTACAAATGATCCTTCTGTGAAGTTGTCAAAGAAAATAAGATCTTGATTTTCCTTCAACTAAAGAGCCATCGAACATGGCAAGAGACCACACCTGGGTGAAGGCCTAAGCTGCTTTCAGCCCGGACACTCGAGAGGCATCCTGGAAGCAGCAGGATAGGCACAACAGGGCAGGGCCTCCTCCTATGAAATCCGTGCCTCCCAAATTGGTCTTCTTAGGGCGTGGCGCAAGGCATCCGTTCAAAGCACCCTCTAGAAGATGTGAGTGTTACGTACCAGATATGAACCTGGGTGCTGAGGGGACATACGAGGTCCCTGCCCTGAAAGAGCTTATGCTCTAGTGTGGGGAAACAGACGATATACAGGGAAATGATTAGCATATAAATAAGGCAATTTCGGGAGCGATAGTGCTACACAAAAATAAAAGGGGAACAGGCTGCCTTTTCGGGCAGTCTGTGTGGTCTGAGGCACACTCTTCTATGAACTTATGGGCATATTTTCCCTACTTATTATGGAGCTCTTGGTGAGATCAGATACATGGCGAAAGGAAATACCCCCCCACACACACATACACACACAGAGATTAAATCAGATTTGGAATTCATTGCCTTCCAGGGTCCATAACGAGATGTCCTTAGCATGTGGACTTAGTAGGGTAAACAAGGGAGACTTGGAAGGCAAAGGTATGGCGACCAAACGACCCGGCTTTGTGGATAAGAGTTCCATTTGAGTCATAAGCTGGGTACAGAGTTGATGGAAGATGGCTCTGTCTGCCCCTTCTGGGTCTTGGCCTGAACTTCAAGGAGGCAAATCCAACAGCGTGACAGAGCAGCCCGTCAGGGTGCAACTGTGATGTGTCCACTCACCAGCCCTCTGAAGGCTTACAAGGATCTCCTGGCATCTTCAGCCTCCCTTAGTTTATAGTTACTAAGGTGACAGAGCAATTACCCCTATGCTATTGTAAGATGACACAGCGGCCAAGGTCATAGTCTTTCATATCAGAAAGACTTGGGTCCAAGCCCCAGCTTGGGCTCCTGTGGAATGTTGGGCACACCATGTTTTCTTAACCTTTCAGCCTCATTAGTAAAGTGAAGGCAATACCTGCGTCATGGGGTGCTTTTAAGGTGTCAGTGGGGAAATGCACCTGCAACACGTAGCAAAGTACCTGACGCTTAGCAAAGTGGCTGGGACTTGATCGATAGTAGGCAATCATCTCAAAGATTAAGTGTCTGTAAGGCTACTTAATCATAAAGGGCCTCCCACTCTGACAATTCTTGATTAACTGGTCAGCCATTCACTGTATCACTGGTAGTAGCCACTCAAGACCTCCAGTTAGCAGCCAGAAGCCTAATTGTACGATACATGAGCTCCTACTCTATATAATACATATGCTAGATAGATAGATAGATAGGTAGATAGATGATAGATAGGTAGGTAGATAGGAAGGAAGGAAGAAAGAAAAAAAGAAAGAGAGGAAGGAAGAAGGAAAGAGATAGATGAATGGGTGGATGGATAGACAGATGGATAGACAGACAGACACTATCTATAAAACATTATTCTAGGAAGAAGTATGCCTCAAGTGATACTAACCCACATAATCAAAATGGGTTCCACTGGGATTATGCCTTGTTCATCCTTATATCCACGATGTCTGATACACAGTATGGTGCCCAATAGATGTCTCTTTAGTTTTGTGGGAAACGCATTAGAGTCCAGTGACCTGGGATCTAGAGTTGGACTTCTTACTGAGAAGCTGTCAGTACTTATCAGTACGGCTTCAGTTTCTTTATCAGAGCAGGAAGAAGTTGGCTTTGGTGGTGTCTAGGTCCCTGGCCAACCTAACGCTCTGCCTCTGGAAGTCTATGTTTCTTTTAAACTTGTTCTCTAAACACTCCAGGAACCCGAGTGGCTCCCTCCTGCCTGCAGGGTTGTGGCACATCCCTCTGGAATCAAGGCAGTGGTGGTGTGATGGAGGCGTCACGCAGGCTGGAGTGGCCAGCAAAAAGAAACAATAGACAAGAGTGTTACCAGCATCCTTCTATCCAATTATAACAGCTAAATGCCTTCCAGCACACAGAGACTACAACCTGCCCCATCCAAGCTGGAGGGAGAGAATGGTTTCAATTAAGGGAAGCATAGCAGGATGGCTGATCTCCTTAGAGAGACTACTCCTAAATTACCACCAACAGCCCCAGCGCTCCCTGCAGTGAATTTCAGCAACACGGGCCAATGCAAACCATTCTTTAGTTGTGAGACAATCCTCAAGTGAGGTGCTTCTCGGCAGCTCCCCCCTGCACAACTGGAAGTGGAGACGCCCACCCCCAGTTGGCTCCCTGATCGTTGGTGGTCTCGGAGGTCCCACTGCCAATGGGAAGAGCCAAGAGGGAAGTTCCCTTCACCTGTTTTCCCGAAGATAACTCTCGGTAGTACTGAATTGTTGCAAGGTCCTTCATTGTCAAGGAGCCAGAAGAATCCAGATTCTCAGGAAAAGGAGATGCCTTGAATTTTCAAGGCCTCCAGTTCTGGAGATGGAAGGACAGGATGGGTCCCATAAAGCTGAATGGGACGCTGGTGTGATGCGGGAGGGAGAGGATTGAGTTCCAGCCCCACCACGTGAGAGCGGAGCCTTCTTGGACAAGTTACTTCATCTTTGCGAGCCTCAGTTTCTCAGCCTGTAAAATGACTCTAAGGCAATTCAGTCATTTATTTATTCAGTGGATATCTGATATTTGCTGGGTACCGCCAAGAGAGGTTTATGGGAGTTAGATAATAAACTCAAGGGAAACACCAGCGCTGCATGGTTCATAAAAGGTGCTTAATTTTCCTTCTCCCACAGGAAGATAAAACCCTGGACGACGAGTCACAGCTCTCCCAGATACCAGGGGGACCCCTCGGTTCTAATTTATAATGTATTTACACCACGAGCAATCATCTGTGTTTCGATCATCTTCTGTTTCAGCCCAAACAACAGTCTGCAACCACACTCCTATGAAATTAAAAGCAAAATGAGAACCTGACATGAAGGCAAACACTCCTATTAAAAGGTGCAAAAGTTTTAGCCACTTCTGAGGTGTGGCTGGGAGAGGCCAGATGTTCCTTTCTTTAGAGGTGAAAAGAACTGAGCAGTTAGAGACAATTCAAGGTATTTGGGGAGATAAGAGGATTGAACACCCCAATGATTGATGGGTGGGCACTTCATGTACTCAAAAGCTAGTCCCCTCCACACCTCCACAACCAGGAAATTCTAAGCCCGGGCTTCTGGGGAGGAAGTGGGCTTTGGGAAACTTCAAAATTTCCAGAATGAGAAGAAAGCTACTGCATTAACTTGCCCCTAAGGGTCTTTCTATACTCTGAGACCAGGGAACTGTACTGTAAAGAAATACTTCTACCCAAGAGGGAGGAAAATACCATTTCCTCCTCCAGCCTCACTGCCGATTGCCAGCACTGAGGGCAGGAAGAGGCAGATCCTGCTGAGACAAGCAGCCCAGGAGACTGCCTGTCATCGTGCAAGTAACGACAGGACCCGGAGCGTGTTTCCCCACTCGCTTCCACCAGCTTCTGCAATAGCCAAGCTTCCCGGAACATCCTATGCCGCCTTATCTGCCTGGCAACAGTTGTGCCAGTAAGCACGGGGGTGCCAGCGCTTCGGTGTGCCCTCCCCCCAAATTAAATGAGATCTTATTGGCTAATGTTTTGCCCAGAAATGGAATGAAAATCTTCCAAAGGCAGCTGGAAGCATGTCTCAAGTGCAGCAGGAACAGAGTTTGGGCTGAATGGGGAAGGGAGAGGTCCCAGGTCTGATACTTACAGTGATCTCAATGATTACTGAGGATGCTTTTTGCTCCCTGTCAGTCATTCCGCACACGATCACAGTTGGTCCTGACACAACCCTGCACGTAGGTATTATTACTCCATTTTAAAGATGAGGAAATTGAGGCTCAGGGTGTTAAGTCAATTGCTTACGGCCACAGAACTGATGAGGGACAGGACTCGAACCCAGGTTTAACTCCAGGACCCAGACTGCTTGCTGAGAGCCGGAGATACCAGACTTCGATCCCCCTCGTGCATCCCTGACCCCTGTACTTAGCCCAGAGGCTAAACTATGTAGGATGATGAGTAAACACTCTCTAATCCAGCCTTTAGAGGAAGGTAGAAAACCTGACTTTGACAGACACTATTCCCTGGTGGCCTATTTCTAAATGTCTTCCAGGGGGTCTGGGGAGCTCATTTGGAGAAGAAACTTGAATGCGTCTTCCAAAGGTTTTAACAATGCAAACAATGCAGAATACAGAAGTAGCTGCTGACTTCAGCCTTCCAAACAATACAAAGAACAGGAAGCTCAAAGGGATAATAGGGTACCTTTCCTCTACCCTGAGAAACAGTCCTTAAGGAAGGCTGGAGATTATCTGATGATACTTATTTGAAAGGAAAGAGAGCTGCCCCGAACATGTTCCAGAAGCGAGCCACAGGGAGCCCCTCCCTCTGCCCCCAGGAAGAAGAGTCTAGAATATCCAAGGCTTGCCTTCCCAAACCTTGCCCCATCTCTTCTAGCCCTCAGCAGAACATGTTTCCTCCTTGTCCTTCACATCCATGAAATATTGCACATACTCAGCCTCTGTTTGGTACCTTTGCAGGAAACCGTGGAAGAGACTGTCTCTTAGGTGACGCCAGCCAAGGAAGAGGAATGGAAATTGGGGTGGTGCATGGCCATAAAGGGAGGAGAAAAGATGTGGTCTGCTTGCTGACCCTCATTTGCTTTTTAAGCACCTGCCTCTTTTTCCAATAGACAGATATAGATAGATAGATAGATAGATAGATAGATGAAAGATACATGGATACATACACCTATAAAGTTGTTTTTTTTAATTGAATTTGGACATCACGGCCTGAATCCACCATGGTAAGCCACAATCCCACAAATCCAACCAAACATTCAAGTGGACACCGGCCTTCAGAAAAGAGAAGACCAATCCCAAGTTTATTCATTCAACAAGGTTTCATTCAGTGCCCCCATGGGCACTGTGCTAGGCACTGGGATCAGGGCATTGAAAAAGGTCAGCAAGGTCACTGTGCCAAAGGAGATTATGGTCCAGAGGAGAAGACAGACACTCAACAAGTCAACAACACAGCACAGTAGACGTTGTAACAGAAGTGCAAGGTGCTGAGCACTTAGTCTAAAGGGAAGCCTTTCCTCCCCAAGGCCTTTGCTGGACCCAAGAGATGCCTCAGAGAACTGAGAACTGAAGGATGGACTGGGAACTAGCAGACCAGGCTCAGCGGGCCTCACAGTCAGGAAATTCACCCTCAAAATAAAGCATAAATCATTTCAGTTTGATAGAATCCATTTCCTCAAGCTCTTTCATCATTAGATTTTGAGAAGGAGAGGCCCCCTTCCCATGTAAGAAAAAATCACATTCTTGAGGTCCACATTAAACATCCCCTGGCTTTCTCTTCCCTGGATTCAGTCTTTATAAATCCTTTAATGATATTTAAGTGATAAAAAGGAATGGAAAAAAATTTTTAAATCCTGAGTTTCCCTCGGTGCTGTTACATTCATGAGCTAACTGCACATGGAGGCAGGGCCCTGGCCCAGAAAACCCACCTGTCCACCTTTGGGCTTATTAAATGTTGAGATGTTGGGCCCTTGAACTCTGGATTCAAAGAAACTATTAGGAAAGAGTTTTCCTGCTTATGAAAGAGCAATTATTAATATAAAATTCAATAGTCAATTCTAGACTCCCTGAAAGCAAGTCAGATCCATTGGGAGCCAACATAGTGTGGTGGTGTGGACATCAACTCTGTGGGTGGACAGCTAGGGTTCAAATCCTGAATCTGTACTAATTAGCTCTATGACCCTGGGAAAGTCATTAAACTTCCCTCCTCTACAGGAGTGTAATAATGCTAGCCACGAGGTTAATATGAGGGCTGGATTAGATAATGGAGCTGAAAACACTTCACACACATTAAAACACTCCAGGAGTGTAGTTTTTGAAAAGGGAAGCAGGCTCTCTCCTTTGGGGGTCATCAACTCATAATTTACAGGAAGACATGCTCTTCCAAGGTCACAGTAATTCTTTTTAAATGGATCACTACAGACTAGTGGTCCTCAGGCATAATGTGGCTCCAGCAGTGCTGAGATGGGTTGCAATAATGAGTTCCTAATAATAAAGTGCTCAAGTGTGCAAAGATGGACTGTTTCTTATAAATTGTAACAGATTTAAGGTTATTCCCTGATATTCTTTTTTTGGAGAGAGAAAAGGATAAAGTTATAGCTATTGTGACTGAGTATAAACCCAGATCATCTAAGCCTCAAACTGTAGTGTGTCCCCCATGTGAACTTCGTCTGTGAGGCATGTCTTCTTAGGATAAGGTTGAGGGTGTGGCTTAGAAACACAAGAACTTAGCTTTGCCTTTTTTCTTTTGCCTACATAGAATCTCAAACCACAACTCTACCAGTTGCATAGACTCCCTTTAGGGCCTTACTCGTTATAACAGACATCGTTACCAATGCAATAAAATTCTTCTAATTGCAACCCGATTTTGTTCCAAATCTCAAACTTGTGCTTCAGGGGAGGCAAGGCCCCAACTCCTAGCTCAATTGGGTAGATCATGACTGGTCTAAGTCCAAGCACTGCGGTCAGAGTTCTCCTTGCCAGCGATTGGTTCCGTGTGGGCATTCCAGGCAATGGGACCCCATTCTTCCAAAGAGAAGTCAATTAAGAACTTCTAGAAAAGCCATTCCTCCATTTCTCTAGAAGAGATGTTTATGAATAAGCATCCTTCTGGTGCTGGATAATGATTTTGTTTTTCCATTGGATGCCTGGAACTGTAGGAGTCAATTTGGGACCATGAAGGAGGCTAAACTAAAGAAAGACACTGTGAGGGGCAGAGTGGGAAGCTGGAAGAAAACCGGGTCTTTGATAACAACATTGAGCTTCTGGAATCATCCTACTTCCATACTTCTTGTTATGGGAGATAATGTTTTTGAGGGTTGATTATTCTTTACTTACAGAGATACCCAGCTGACATGAACTGATGTGGGTATACCAAGAAATATGTGACAGATAACAATTACATGGGGGGCTACACATCATGGTGTGATGCATAGATGGGGTGTGGCTTATGTTCAATCATGATAGCTCTAACTCCACCCTTATCTCTCCAACCCAAGAAAGCACATCTGAATAAAAGGGAAAGGACGTTATCATCATCACTGGTTGGGGTGGGGGGGATAAACTTGAACCTGTTCTTGTTTATAAGACACAGTTGTTTATAACTGACCACTTGGATTGCCGGTGCCTATATTCTACCAATTGATAAATAAGTGATGTTTTGTGTTTTTGTTTTTGTTTTTTTCTCACCACATCTATCTCACTCTCCTGATAGAGTCCACTCTGGTCACCTCCAAGTAGTTAGCCACCAACAAAGGAAATAAAAGAGTGAGGCCCCTGTAGTCAGATGGTTGGACATCTGAATCCCAGGGCTCTTGCCTGATCCTCCTGCCTGGACCCAGGAGATGCACCTGTATGGCTGCTGGAAGTCATCCTATAAACCCCCCACTTCCTACACATCAATAGACCCTGAGCCCGAGCTCTAGCCACTAAAGTGCTTAAAACAAGACCAAGAAACTTCCAATAAAATGGGCCAATAAATTTGACCCTAAACCGAGGCTTAACGCTCAAGATTCCTAAGTAAATTATGAATATTTCTCCCATGGAAAAATGACACTTTTGGTTTCCCAGAGTTTGGGTTCCTTTTCTCCCCCAACATGTGCTTCTAAAAGCTTGAGTCAGCTTGGAGCTTCCCATGGTTCTCTTCCCACCACTGTCTTTTGCAGGGCAGGTAGGATAAACTGGCTGCTTTCAGAATCTTGAGGAATAAAACTTGCTTTTCTGGCTCTCTTACTCAGATGACCCACGTGAGAGGCAGCTAGACTAGGAGCTGCCTTGGCTAGAGCTGCTATGAGGAGCTTTGACCCCACCCACCAAACTGTCCCCCGGTTCTGAGAGCTGGTGGGGTTGAGAAGTCCAACAGGTAGGCCTCCCAAGGAACCGTGGGGATCCTGGAAACATAGTCACTGCTATCCACTGAGAAGTCTTGAGAAGTCTTCCCTGATGCTCTGGATCAGCTGAGGACTCCCTGTTACCAGCTCTCACGAGCTCCGGCTTCTCCTTCCTAGCTCTGATCACAAGTATAATTAAATAAGGGCATAATTAGTTGTTTACTGTGTCTTCCCAGATAGCTGGTAAGTTCCATCAGAGCAGACGCTGTGCCTCTCATTTAAAGTTGTATCCCCAGCCCCTGGCAGAGTGCCTGGCACATACTGGTATTCCATAAATATGTGTTAAGTGAACACATGGATCATTTGGAAACCAATGATTGATCAGAGAGGCTGGGCAAGAGCAATGCCAGGTTATGCAGGGCCTTCTGGTTTCCAAAGGCTCATTGAGTCAAAAAGGATCAAAACGAACACCAAATATGGATGTACAAGATACTACACAGGAAACCAGATCCAGGTACAATGAAGACCCCAGCAGAGTGTAAACACCTACACTGTTTCCCATTGGGTCCCCAAAACCCAGGACCATTGTATCTTCCTCTCTGTCACTCCAAGTCTTCTTGCCCTGGTCAGCCACTGTCCTCCTGTTTAGTGCCCTTTCCTCTATCATCTGAAAGTATGAAATGGAGAGAGTACTGGATTGAGGTTCAGAAACCAGAGTTTTGACTCGAACTGGTTGTATGACCTTGGGCAAGTCACGTGCAGTCTTTGAGACATCCTTCCCTTGTTTGTCCAATAAAACTAGCGGGCTATACAATTTCTAGCACTTTCTCCCAACCTGACATGCCATCATCATGGGCTTTGTGTCACCAGCTCATGAAAACTTCTCACTTAGGGCCCTTTCTCCCTTTCTCCTTTTTTTCCCTCTTTGGATCCATACTTCGACCCAGCTCAGTCTTGCACCTAAGCCCTAGCAAAGCATCTGAAAGCCCTCCTGCCCCTGCCTCCAGCACTCTTATTGAGTTACCCCAGTAAGGGGATTGTGACTCAACTTGGCAGGGTACCCCAGTCCCCTGCAGGCTGGCTGCCTCCGCCTGTCTCTGGAAACGGCAGGACCAAGAACCTGAGCACATCGCAGGGCCCCCTAGATAAGCACTGCCCAGGAGGGGATGGCAGCTCGCAGGAGGTGGGTGTGCATTCTGAAGAATACAGTTTCAATGACTGGGGTCAACTAGCAACAGGAGACAGAGATAAAGGTGAAAGTGACTTCAGGTAATAATAGAACCTTGTAGTTCTACATCATGTGCTTCTGCCTACCAGTACAAAACACTTTCACACCAGCAGGCAAAGGTGGAGAGGTCTAGGGGAAGCAGACAGATGATTATCCCTGGGTGGGTCGCACACTGTATTGAAGCATTAGACAGATAAAGCCAGTAGCCCAAGGTCACACAATTAGGCTTTGACACAGTGGGAATTAGAGCAGAGTGTCCTAATCTCACCCAGGGCCTCTTTCTAGTAGACTCCTGATGGAGCCTTTTGTTTATACCTTGGTTCTACCTTATCTTACCTGCCCAGGTAGTGAGCTTGCTTTTTCCCTTGGGGATGAACAGTGGGAAACTCGAGCAGCCCAGAGTGGGTTGACCAGCCTGAGTTTAGAATCCAGCCTTCTTGACTTGGATTCTACCAGCAGGACCCAGGAAGGCCAGCCTGTGGAATGCTGCTACTGTTTGCATTTGGGAAGCACAGAAGAGCCCCAGTGGCAGCTGAGAATGCAGAGGCTCCAGGGCTGATAAAAGTTGTAATTAACGTGCATATACGATCTTTTCATCTTCAAAGGCTTTAACTCATATGAGCTAGTTATGCCACCTATCACCCCCATGGCTGAGGAATCATTTTTGTCGTCTCAGTTTGCAGATGGAGAAGCTGATGCGTGAAGGAGCTCTTTGCCAGGAAGTCTGGCCCTGATTCAAAGAGAGGAAATTCCTTGCTCCCAGCATCTTGGGGTAATGGTAAAACAGAGTGTGAATTAATCATAAGAGAAGGCTCAAGGGACCAAACTCCTCTGGGTGAGAGACTGCATTTATACTGTTCTGGAAGGAGGTGGAGTTTATGGTATGGCTAGCTGACTAGATTCAACTCCCAGAGTTACACAGAACTATCATAAATGTAGACTAGAAAAGCCTACTGCTCTACTGTGGGGATGTCCATGTGATACAAGGGGGTCAAATCCTCCATATTGTGCCCATGGCAGACATCACTAATGGATCACAGCACCCTCTGTGGCTGAGCCAAGGTTTGGCTTCTTAGCACAGCCCCGCAGGCAGCCTCTAGCAATCAATGGAAAATGGTACAGGAGCTGAAATCTGTTTGTTATTGCTGCCTGCCATACAGTCTGTTTGGGATTCTCTTAAATTGCCAAAAGTTGCCAAAGTTTTATCTCAACCAATGTTGGAGCTGGCCTTTTTTCTGAACTCTGTCCAGCACAGTCTAAAGAGGGTATCATGAGAACTTCTAAGTCTCTGGGGCAGCATAACTGGATCTCATAGATGTTGCCACTGTTACATGATCACCTGGAATCTGTCCAACCTCACCCCTCACTGCTCTTCAACATGGCATCTCTTATTCAGGTGGACGGAGCCCCCTCCTGACCCCGATCAAGCCGTACTTATTTCTCTGACTTTAAACTTTCAGCTGATCCTTTACACTTCTCTGGGTTGCTCTCTTCTCTCTGTCCATCTTCTTTCCCACGCTCAGTTCATCCTCAAACTTTACTCCTTCCATGAAGCCATCCTATACAACTGCCGCTCAGAGAGGTCTGCTTTCTTGTATAATTAATTACTTCACTTGTTTACTTTTTCTTTCACCAAACGGTAAACTCTCTGAGGACAGAAACTAGATCTTCCACATCCCTCACTTCTTTCCACAAAGGATTCTTTCCAATCACATGATAGTTTTCAGTGCATTGATGGGTGAGTGTATACCCATTTTACAACTGGGGAAACAGAGGCAACCAATAAAGGAAGAACCTTGCCCACAGTCATCCTGTGACTAAGACAGAGAAATGTTGAGCCTCTGCTGGCCACATGTGGTTCTCACTTCTCCTAGAATGCAGTGTCTGGGGGACTGGCTGGAGATACAGATGACTGAATGGTACCCAGTAATCACCGAGGGCACTGCCTACTACAGGAGAACTAAACCCAGCCTGGTGTTGTATTTCAACTTCTGGTTAGTGGATTCCAGATGGATATGGGCATACCCAGGATGGACCGTGATCTCACAAGGATTTTCAGTGACTGATAGAAGGTCAGACCCCAACAGGGCATTTAGTCTCAGACCCACCACTCTGACAAACTCCTAAGTAACACAGTCTTCATAACTTCCTTTTTCTTTTCTTTCTTTTCTTTTTTTTTCCCCACTGAGCAGGAAGAGTTTCTCTGGTCTCATGAAAAAGAAAGAAATATCTTAGTAGGAGTCTGGAAGTTTCTCTGTAGAAGAAGCAACTCACCATCTCAAAGGTCTGCCTTGCCCTGTGCCTTGGTATCTAGATGTTTGTTTGCTTTTGTTTGCCTTTTTTTTTTTCCAGATTCCCATGGCTGTCCTAGTTACTTTCCCTAGGATACTAGAGCTTGCCCTCTAAGCACTGCTTTGGCTGAATATTAGGGTTCATTTTGCACCAACATGTTGCAGGGTTCCCTTGAGGGAAGCTGAGAAATCCAATGTGTTCATGGAGCTTTGAGAGTGAGGGACACAGTCTTTTCTCTTCTTCAGGGGTTTACTGCTCTGACCTCTTGAAGCAATGTTTTTTCAAAGAATATTGCATCCAGATCCTGTGGCTTATCCCAGGGCTAACTTCCTGCAGTTTTAGCTGTGTGACTGACGCCTGTTGCTAACCTCTCTGGCTTAAACTTCATCTGCTCACCCGCAGGTGGTCGGGAGGATTCGGGGAGGTCCTCTGAGCAAAGCACCTTGGCCTAGGAGTCCTTCTTGCCCATTGGAGTTTAGAGTGTAACTGGGTCCGTATGCTTGTTGTTTCTGGTGTGGATTAATAATTCACTTCTGACATTTAATACAAACCAGGCATCGCTTTTGTGTGCTGGGGGCACTGTGGGGGACTGCATTATAGTTGTGTTATTCTTTCCATTAAGTCTTATGAGGCTTAGGTGTTTGTGGGCCCACAGAACGGTGGGTTTATAGAACATGAGGCCTGGAAAGGACTGCACAGGTCAACTAGAATCCTGCTGTCTCATCTCACACATGGAAAACTGGAGGCAAATAGGAAGCAGAATGATTGGTTTGGCATCACATAGTGAATCAGTAACAGAGAGGAACTAAAATATCATAGTCATTTCTATTCTTGAGGCACCTTCGGTGTACTAGACACTTAGCTCTAAACACTATGAGCTAAACATTGTTATAGACACTTAATGTGTGCAGTGCTGGAGCTCACACTGCTCTTAAGGGGCGGGGAGGAGAATCAACCTGTTTTACAGCCCTTCTTCCTTCCACATGGCCCTCCTCCAAAGCCAACCTCCTAACTCCCATACCACCATACGAAATAGCTGGTTTGGTATGGAAGGTCTCTAAACCATTGAAAGAAAGAACTCCTCCCATTTTTCCCTTTTAACTTAGTGACGGAAAAGCCAAATGCTTTTCTCTGAGTGTTCTTGAGAACATGATTTTGAAGCTTGGGGTTCTTTCTACATGAGGCCGGATTTGGAGGGCAGTGCTGGGGCTGAGAGGCAGACAGACTTCTAAGAAATCAAGATCCCTTGGGCTTCCCTGGTGGCGCAGTGGTTGAGAGTCCGCCTGCTGATGCAGGGGACATGGGTTCGTGCCCTGGTCCAGGAAGATCCCACATGCCGCAGAGCAGCTGGGCCCGTGAGCCACGGCCACTGAGCCTGCGCGTCCGGAGCCTGTGCTCCGCAACGGGAGAGGCCACAACAGTGAGAGGCCCGCGTACCGCAAAAAAAAAAAAAAAAAAAATCAAGATCCCTGGTTTACTGGACAAAACCCAGTGAGCTCTAAACTTCCTCTGCCTTGCCTGACATGTCAAACTCGAAGAAGGATACACTCAAATTAGAGAGCATGCAGAGAAAAGTGATTTCAAGGAGATGTGAGTACATGAGCCACTAGGAAAAAAATAATAAAAAGATTTCTATAGATCAGAAAGATAAAAAAGGATGAAAAAAAATTAGCCAGAACCTATAAAAAATCACAGAAGGGAAATGATAAAGATGGCTTTGCTAGTCAAATCTAGAAACTTCACTCATTCAGTCAGCCACCCAATATGTGTTGAACGTCTACTGTAATTGAGGAACGACAGCTGGGGACCACATCAATACAAAGTTGTACATAATGTACATAATTCATAAGCTTTCCCCTAAGAAGCTTCTAGGATCACCTGTGAAAGAGAACAGAGCATCATGATACAGCTCAGAGGCATCCCCTGAACTTCTTTTTAGATGGAAATATGCTTGCGGGGTTTTTATGAATTATCAGGGAGAAGCAGTTAGTAGACAACCGGAGAAGGTAAAAGTCACTTTGGGAAGTCTAGAGGGATGTACCTGACCTCTAAGGTTGACCTTGGGAAGATAACTAGTGCCATCACAGAGGATCCACTGCAAAGACGAACTTCTGGGCAGGAGATTTCTACAGCAGTATTACTTCTCTCTCCAAACTCTGATTTGCGTCTATGTGACCAACACGCTGGTGGGTACCTGAACCCTTGTCCACCCCTTGCAGGGAAGTGTGGCCCTGAAACTCACTGGTGGCTGCGGGGCTGACTCAGTGACGTCAGCTGGTCTCCGGCAGACTGTAAGATGGTACTCGGCTCTGCTGGAATCTGCTTCGTGGACTGGACACATTCAACAATGGCAATATTTGTGACTGGTGTATAGTATTTATGCCATTTAATACTTTTGGAGCCAGGGGCCTGGGCAGAAATGACCTTCTAGGTCAGAGGCAGGAGACCAGGTCCGAGCAGCATGGAATTGTTAATTTCTCCCTAGCATCTCAATTTCCATAATGGTGAACACTTGTGAAGAGGTCTTACCATCCTCACTCTAATATCTTGGTGGGTTCTCTTTGAGAGAGGATGTAGAAAAAGATGCTGCCTAGATCCACTACTGGTATGTGGTTTCTTCTGGAAGGCACTACAGACCCGCTCAAGTGCAAAAAGATGTGCTGAAATTGGAACAGATGGGGATCTGTGATGAGTTTCTGCCCCCAGGCCAAAGGCGCAGGTCCCTTCCTGCAGACTGAGTCAGACATTTCCAGGGGGCTTTGCCTCCTTCCTTCCAGGATGGATTGTTTCTCAGACAGGGCACCCAGAGGCAACGCTACCCACCCCGCGCCACCGCCCCCCCCCGCAAAGGTCACCTGCTGGGCCAAACAGAAGCCAGACCGCTGGTTTGCACTGGAGCTGGGAAGAAGGGTGGCAGCACACTTCTAGCTTTTGCTCGATTCCTGGTGTCCACGGTGAGCATAGACTGATTCCTGACAGCCTTCGCTCTCAGAGGACCCCTTTCTGTCACCAGTTCTAGCTGGTAGAGAGAAGGTCCTGGCATCACGGACCCGTAAGCTGAGGGCAAACATTTTTGCTGCTGTTTGATTGGCTCCTTTCCCAACTTTATCCTGTCATGAGCCAAGGTCCTAGATGATGGAGCAACACATCAGCAACCTCATCGTCCATCAGGTGACAAGTACCGAAGTGATCATGAACAAACAACTCAATTCACCATCCCATCCCTTTGAATCCGAGCCTCTCCCCAACTCCCCCCGCCTCTACCCCATATAGAAGAAAACAGAACTTGTATCCAGGAATTGGAATGAATGAGCTGCTCAGAGCATGAATGCGAAGACATTTCCATTACTTCTTTCTCCATGTTTGCAATTCCAGCCCCCTCCTCTGACATCACATGTATAAAGGGAGAGCAAAACCAGCTCTGTGGACATTAGGATCCTGCCCACCTCGGATTCCTAAACGGGATTTATGAAGACAACCAGCGTACTAGCAGGTATCATCGTTCGGGTTTCTGGGGCACCCTGACATCTTGATATACGAAGGGAGGCACAGCAATGCAGTGACCAAGAACATGAACCCCAGCTAGACAACCTGGGTTTGAATCATAGCTCCATCGCTTACCAGCTCTGTGGCCTTGAGCAAGTTACTTAAATTCTCTATGCCTTAGTTTTCTCATTGGTACAAGAGGGATAATAATAACACTTCTTCCTAAGGTTAGTGCATGGATTAAACAAGTTAGTATAGAGGAAAAATTAGGATGGTGTCGGCATGTGGTCAGTACTCTGTGTTTGCTATTATTAGTAGTAGCGGTGATGGTATCTCAAATACATACAACTAGCTGCAAAGAAACAACCACAAAAGGCACAAGAGCTCTAACTCTCCAGAAAGGTCGAGGGTTAGGAAGATGAACTTTCAGGCACAGCTCAAGGAGACTCGCCATGACCCCAGAGCAAAGGCTCAAAATGACTTGTCTATGCAAATTCTCTCTTTCCCTGGAGTTTTGCAATTAATGTTTACTCTCAAAAGCTGAAGACTCGAGAAAGATTTTTCGGGCCTGAGTTTTGCAAATCACCTCCTTGGTGACTCAGCCCTTCCCCACCCACCTGGGGCCTGTTCTGTGTACACTTGTTCTTAGGAGGGACACTGGCCTCAGGACACACCCAGGCAGGTGGTGCACCCCAAACTCAGGGAGATCTGGCTTCGTCAGGTTCTGTGCCCCCATGACACCCAGCCCCTCGTCCTGTCTTTGACTCCCTGCCCCTACGTTTCACAGGGTGGATGACCCATGGGAAGGCAGGACCTGCCCTGGTTGTGGGCGACTTCCCACGTGGCAAGCTCCGTGGAAAGGAGGCACGGTTTGCCTCCGCAGCAGACGTCAGGCTTCCCGGGAGACCTGTAGCTGCTGCAGGAGACCCACACAGAAGGCAAGGACCTCTGGGAAGTACTTCTGCTGCTCTCCCAGCTGCCACCACCTTCCAGAAGCAGGTGTGGCGTTGGACGGGAGGGTGTGGGCCTCTCACGCAAAGAGTCCAACCTCAGAGCAGCATCTCCAAAATAATTAGAGCTCCAAGCGGGCCACTGCACGGGAGTGTTTTATTTTGAGGCTTCAATTTGGGGATTGGTGTCATCATCCTGCCTGGCTCTCACTCTCTTCTTGGCCCAAGAAGTGAGTCACCCAGTCCTTAGACGGACGTCCCCAGACACAGCAAGCAGCCACCAAAGCCACAAACAGACGGGCAATCTCCCTCCTTGGGCAGACCAAACACGAGCCCTGCGGTGGGCAGCTGGCCGGCCAAACGCCCGTCTCAGCCCTGTCCTGGAGAAGGCGGCCATCACCACTGCTGTCATATACAGACAAATGATCTGTATCTTAGGTAGGCCGTCAGGCATGCTTTCATATATAGCGTGGATGTAGTAATTTCTATATTCTAGACATTCATTTCAGTTCAACAGTTACTGGTAACAATTACGGGCCAGGACTGGGATCCGGGACCACAGAAATGAATGTGGTTCGATCCCTGATGTCAGGGGGCCCGCACAGCACTGCAGAAGAGATATAAGAGAAGATCTGTCTGGTTTGGGGTTTTCCTCCAATGAGAAGCGTGAAAGTCATTAGTGCCCGTTGGCCCCAAATACGCTTATTTATCTTGATTTGCCTGTGTAGCTTTTAGGCTAATTAACTGGGGACCTATGGGAACCAGATACCTCCTTGTCAGAGGTGAAGTTGGCCACCATCCAGTGACACCAGGGATTCTCAACCGGGGGGCAACTTTAACCAACCCCCCCCCCATTGGGCCATGTCTGGAGGCAATATTGGTTGTCACACGGGGTTGGCGAGGGGGACGTTTGCACTACCAGAATCTAGTGTGTGGAAGCACAGAGATGCACAGTTAGCCATTATCCAGGAAACCCTACGCTAGACCATGAACTACTCAGGAGTGAGGAGCGTGTCCTTCTGACCATGAGCTCTCAGGACCTATCCGCTAGGTGCACCAAATAGGCAGTGAGTGCGTGAACGTGCGTTGGATATATTGTCCAGTTAATGAACTTACTCGCGAGGAGGTAAATTAGTAGCAGGGTAACAGAAATATACACACCCCTATCTCACTCCCTCTTCTTCAGATATTCAAATCCTCTCTTGTCCACACTGCCCCCACCCATCACTGATTCCCCAGCCCTCCCAGCTGTGCTTCAGCTTGGCAAGGCTGTTGGCTTTACAGCCTAAAATGGCCAGGCTGTCACTTGATGGCGCTGTCTTACGTGTGTAGAACCATAAGGTTCTTGGATAGAAGCCCCACATCTCACACACTTAATGCCCCTGTAGTACCCCACACAGCATGGGACCCACAGAGGACACATTATAAATGCTTAAGGATTGACCAGCAATACCCACATTATGTGTAGACACATGTGTTCAGATGCATATATACCTACGGGCACACCCACGCCTTGTGTGTGTCCACACCTAGCAAGCAAAAACCCTATATGTAGCTTTTCTTGGTACTTCACATATTGGGGTGATCAAAAAATGGAGAGCAGAGGAATACAGATGTTCCTCTCCAAAAGTACACATTTTCTGAACCAAATATCAATTTAATCGGACGCTAGACTGATTCACGAGTTGTATAAATGTGATTTTCATTTATGCAAAAATCCATGCAAGTTTCTGACTTCTAATCACACAAAGCCATGTACTTATTTGTAGAAAAATATATAAATATTTAGTCAAAATATACACTAGGTTTCAATTGGTAGAGTATTTGCATATTTGAAATCCTGACACTCCTGGAAAATCTGGAGTGCCCAACAACTGCGTCCATGCCAAGCCAGACTC